AAGTTTTAGCAAATGGAAAATACCTTAGATTTTATTAAAATTTTACATTTGGCCCTTAAATAAAGGGATCTGCTGGATAATTTAAACGAACATCTTGATAGTTGAGACACATTTTAGACATAAAATACCATCTAAATTCGACCCCGCAGACGACTAAGACAATTACAAACGAACATAATATTCTAGCCTTATTCGTTTATTCTGCTCTATACATTCAGTACCTACAAGTTACGACGCGACATCAAAATACATGCAAATCGTTGTTTATGTAGCCGGTTCGAGGACGGAAACGGTATCGACGTACATTTGCAATTCTGCTTACAATTCTATATAAAAACAGAGGGAGGGCTATGAATAAATAAATAGTGTAAGAATTGAGAGTGCGTCGGATTCGCGTCGCGTTCCCAGCCGGCCATTGTTCTTTGCGTAACGACTGTGTGACGCGACCGACAGGGTGAGACCGACTTGAAGCAGCCGACACGCTGACATGACGTGGCCGACACGATGCGGCCGATGCGATTCATTACTCGCGCGCAGGTGGCCGGCTCTCGTGTCACGGTGTCGATTTCTCTCTACTCCATTGTTATCGTAATCTGATCGGCTAATCTATGGACGTACAAATCAACCTTATTTAAAACTTGTCCCATAAAATTATCGATTAAATAAGTACATCAGCAAAAACAACAAATAAAAGTTGTTAAATTGTAAAGTATTAACATTGTTCGTAAAATGATTTTTTTATATGTTTTGTACATGAAAACGAATAAAATCTCGATATATCTTTTTAATTTAAGCAAATACGAAATAGCGTTTGTTTGAGTGTGACTTTTAATTAGAGGTTTGATGATTCAGTAGTAAGTCATCGACCTTGATACAACCGGATACGAGGGCATCAAGATGTGTACATTTCATCATGCGAGGTTCCGCTCATATGATCCTTAATAAAAACAAAGCTGAGTTTAATTGAAATATGGCGCTCGGGAATTCGACGTATCCTCTCTTGTTAAATAACATTGATTCAAACTATATAAATTCAACTCTTAGTATACAACGAAAAATACTAAAAAACAACTTAGAAAAGAGATTTAAAAGATAAAACATAGACATATGAGCGGAGGAAAAGTAAATTTTTCGTAGATTTAAATAGACATTATTCGGTTATAGATATTTTATGTACTATTAAGTCATGTATGATGAATGTTGGGAACCGCATCAAGACAGTAAGTTAAAAATCTTATAGCATAACCAGTTTGTCTCTGATCGCTGTCAAGTCGACCCTATTACGGGGGTCAGGTGGACTATAATGCTAAGATTCGGGCAGCAGTTGACAGCGCATTCCAGCACGATTCCACGAAGCCACCCTACAAAACGTGAGCTTGTGTTGATCGTGTTTACCCCCCCAGTCTAAACACACCCTGACCCATGCCATCCCACCCCACGCCACCCTAGTACACCCCTGCCACCTCCGGGGTGAAAGTCGACGCCGTCGGCATGCAAATCTAATATTGTTACTTTATTCTGACTTTACAAGGGCAGTGGGAGGACTTTTGTTTGGTAATGTGCATATTAAATGAACGCAACGGAGATTTATGTTCTTGTTAATTAAAATGTACAAACAGAGGCATTCTATTATAAAATTACACTATTTGTATCGGATCATTATATGTAGCATTTTGTTAGCAATTACTTACTAGACTTATAGCAATGTATTACACTGCTTAAGAAAACTGGCCTATATAAATACATACAATTGATCGAATATTCTTGCAGGATTACTTGCAAATACCTTAAGGTTCAAGAAAAAAGATATAAGACATGATAAGACATTCCCGAGTACATTACAGAACAGAATTAACAATTCAGCTTAAGCTTAAAATGGAGACTAAAAGAAAACACTTTATTAGTAAATTAAATATTGAATGTTGCGTTTTGAATACATTAATATGAACATAGAGTTATAAAAAGCTAGATACGGCAGTCTTGAAGCTGGTGAATCTAACAGCAAATATGTAAAGTTATGCTAACAGCGTAACGTGACGTGCATGCAATTATTTGTCCTGCGACACGTCCAGAATGCAGATAGCTTCGTTAACTAATGATAATATCTGTGAAATAACAATTTAGCCATTTCATACATATGTATATCAAACTGTAAAACTCATTACAAGCTGTACATCAATATCATTATGTACTATAGACGAATATTTTAATAGGACACAAATATTTATAAATCAAATGGTTATTTAATTACTAAGAATTCTATGTAAATTATTACTCAAAGTAATTACACATTCTTTGAACTATCCAGTAACTGTGCATTATAAACAAGATCACTGTGTAAGAGACTTAAAGAATTTCTAAGGGTATTAAAACATATATCATTACATATAATAACATGCGTAGCCTACTTTGTTTAATATTCTTTAGTTTACTAAGTAATGAAACAAATATTGGTAACAAACGTTGAAATTGAATAAATAAGGAAATACTGCATACTTGAGTATATTTTTCATTAACGTCTTCAGTCATGGTAATGTTAACCTTAGCATACATTATCAATCGTGACATGTACGTACAAGGACATACTTACATCTTGTATTCAAGACTATTCCTAAAATTTATCTGCCCAAGGTGACATATAGTCTTGACTTTAGAGAAAACTTTTACTACTGTTTACTACTTTATCAAACAAAATACAAAATGACTAAGTACTAAGACATTATTTTTAAATTGCAATTGACTTGGCAATTAGCTCTTCAATTGGCCATTGACACACATAAACATAGTTTGTGTTGCTCACTTTATAATCTGTGTAATTAATAATCACAAACATGAAAGTATTTAAATATAAATTAAATGGATTTCAAATTTTAGAATTTAAATTTGCTCATTAATATAAAGGTCACTTATAAGGCGAGACAGGTCTGAACATAAAAGCTATTAGAAAGCAAAAAAATTGGTACAAAACGAGTAGAAATTATGCTAATATGATTTTATAATGTTATTCCGGCGCTGTTATTCACATGATTGCAAAACACAATAGTAAATATACAATTTACATAAAGTTGTATAATTATTAACTAAATAAACCATTTGTAATTTAGCTATCCCCACTCTCTCAATTATATTTATTCCATTTTCTTCTATACCAATTACTAAAAAATAATTCTGTAGTAGACTACATTTCACCGCAAATTGACCACTTCTTATTAAACATTGTTATCCATATAAATAAAAATCGACAAAATAAATATAGCAATTCAAAAGATTATTTACATTTATCGTAACATAGGAATCGTATTATTCGGCATCCGGGGGAGTGTGTCCCATCAGCCCCTTACTTTACACTGTCATGTGCAGTCCACAAAATAAAAACATGTTATATTATCGTCTTTTATCTGCGACACAATATTTCAGCCGGTGAATAACTCTGCCTACACAAAGAGAACATTCCAATTTCCGGTCGATTTCCTGTTTCCACCTTTTAGATAACGTCTTTATAGATTTGTATTACTTAAATCACAAATCACATTATATGATTCTAATGGCTCATCATTCATATTTTATTTTATTTGAATAATTGATGTCCATCTAGTGTCAGAATTTCACAACGTAATTTTTAATGCGGCAATAAAAAATTACAAAGATATTACTCGTCAACAGAACTTTAATAACTTGCAATATTATTTACATAGGTGAAACGGCGGCGTGCAAATGGCGTCCATCCATCTTGACTATTAGAAGTCAAAGCAGGACTATACATTTTAGAAATACGGAACTTTGAATACACGGTCAGATTTATTGCTGCAAAGTCGAGCAGACAAGTCAAAGGTATTTTTTATTGCAGAAAAATGAAACGTAAATCACCGGAAAAAAATTCTTTCTTGAATTAAACAATAATGTTCTTAAAGAGTGACATTAAAATACAAACATTGTTTTAATACATTAGCTTGCAGAAAGAATCACCGAGCAGTCTGTTTACGGATGCAGTGTTGGCGTGATGCCAGCTATAGCTTTGGAGCTGCTAAAATAGATGTGTTTGGCTTAAATTAGACGAGACGAAATGTGTAAATAAAACAGTTGATAGCCAATACCGCATTGAGGTAGTACGGAGAAAAAAAGACTATACTTTATTTTAGTACTTAATTTGCTAAAATACTCATTGCTAAAGCTAAACCAAAACTGTTACTCTGAATCTTAGAACTTCGTTAAGCATATCTCCAGACACGTCGTTACATAACAACGAATGCAACAAGAATTTCATTTATACAAGACATAAAATATGTACGCAACATTCCAATACAAAGGAACCCATTAAACGGTTATACCATCCACTAGCAGTACGTGGAGAGAGGCAATGAATGCATGTGAATGCCCTCAGCCACTCCTATTAAGGCAGTGGCTCGGACAGATCTCTCAGGGGCTTTTGTGACGGACCACTTACTATTTCTCTATGCTGAGAAACGCGGACAATATTATTAACAGAAAACTGAAGACAGAAGAATTAATAAAATTATTCCGTGTTGCTTTAACAATGCGAATATTAGTTTTGTTTCCAAAAAAAATATTTCCAGATACACTATTTTAAATACATGCTACGGTTAGATTATATTATACCTATATAAACATATGTCTATAAGACAAGTTATGTATACAGTCGTTTCACAATTAAATTTACCTGTTTGCTGTTGTTGTGGCGGTTCAACAGAAGCGATATGTCCGTTACTTCGGACTGCCGCTTGCTTCTTTCTCCCTCCAGTCGTTGCCGGACTCTTGTTGTTCTCTCTCTCAATCCTCTGTAAAAAAAATCTTTATAAAACATCAATACATCGGTAAGTAACACTAGTTTTATTCGAATGTCCACGTGGGCCAAACTGTTTCAAATTCATGTCCTACTATGAAAATCACAAACGAGTCGATTTAATGTAGTATGGTGCATTTTAATGTCATCAGACGTCTTTAAAATGAAATCATTCGTCTGAAAAATCGTAATCCACTTATTTCGGCTGACTGTGGACGTTTGGTGTCTAAATTGCGTTGAGTCACGACTCAGGGCGTCTAATGCTGAGTCACCGGTTGGCCGACGATAGCATTCCTATACGAGTATAGCCGAGCGAGCGTTCGAGCGCTGACTTGCCACTAAGAGTACCGTTATACCACTGATTGATATACGATAATAATAAAGTAACAATATGAAAGATTTTTAATTACATTATATCAGCAGCTTTCACATCCAAGATAAGAAAGTGTGTAAGTACGATCATAATATGACATAAGGCAACATAACAATGTAAACACAGACATAGTACATCTAATTATAATTTGATTTAGTAAATCAATCAAGTAAGTTAATTTCTAGACAAATCCCAAAGCCAAAAGTTACCTTTCACGTAGTCATGATAACAACCTAATTAAAGTATAAATTATGTAAACCCCCAGTCGAACAGCTGATCCAAGGTTGTTATGATAAAAATTGCCAGCAAAAACATGAAAGAAACTAGGGTGAGTTATTGGCGAGGGTGACCGACACAAAACGCTAAGCGCTCGTGAAAAATGGTGCAGTTGTGAGTGTGGGGCGGTAGGGCGGTATGGGGTTGGGGGGTGAGATGGCTCACGTGTTCACTGGGCTGGGGTGGGCGGACGTCGCAGCCGACTGTTTATGTGCAAAGACATTACGCTTTGACAGCGAGCCGCGTCATCGGGAAATTGACAAACAACCAGTTTACGTGGCTCACGAAAGTAATTTGAAAATTACTTTGACTCATAAAGCACTTTGCTTTCAGTTTCAAAGGTAACAAGTACAATTTATTAAGAACATTAATTCTGTGGCCGTGTGCCTAGAATATTAACTTACTAATAGCCAAATAAAGAACTACTGAAAAGCTTCGACAACTCTTATGAACATACAAACTTTATAAATAACTTCTCTTCAAGATTAATACTGAAAGTCACACGGAAGATTTCGTAACAGAAAAACAAACGCTTACCAAATAAGTTGAGAACAAACAGAAAGTTTTTAAAAGTTAATTATAACTTTACATTTCGGTTGAAAGCAGCGAAAGCTGCAAGTTTCTTGCCAACGATTGTTTGTTTCGCTGGAAGCTGTTTGCATTGCTAGCGTGGCAGCATAATTACTATTTACGATTATACTGTGTATAAATTCTCTTTAGTTATGAGTGTGTAGGGGTTCACAGGTAGAGGTAGGCCTATACAGTGATGGATGGATTGAGAGAAAGGAGAGACAGATCAAAGAAGGAGTGATGACTAGAAAAACGAAGATACATTAACCAGGAGAACGATAACTTGGTGCACCGACCCAATTATTAATTATTTAAGCAAATAATAGTGGAATACTAGCCATGCCAAAATAAAGTGGTATGGTTATAAAACACAAATTGGAAGCTGGTCGTAAAGTGAAAGTGAAATGTGGCATTACAGAGAAAGTGCGACCACACGGCACTCTTGACTGACCTACGCAATGTTAAAACAAAGTAGGGCACGGTTATGCTTGCAGAGAATCAAGCGGCCGTGACAGCATATCAACGTTATATCATTATTAGTTATTGACAAACTATTTTCTGAATTGCTAGATAATATATTGCATAAGAATGACTTTGCCATTACAATTTAAGACTTTCATACGTCAATTTCGCTTAAAAAGCTGCATTAACGTGTTAAATATTAAAGAAAATGGCGGAGTGATTGATTTGAAACAAGCAGCATAAAATTTGTAATACAAAAGCAACCGGGTAAAATACGTTTATGATTCATTTCTAAGAAACGCGTTGAAATAAATAGTACAGATAGTCAACCACAATGTTACCACTAACATAGGGGTACAAAATGAATAAATTATAGATCTGCATTTGTCATTGACTTACATTGACCTATAATATATCAAACAGCCCGCAGATCGATGCTGTCAGTACATATCAGAAATACTTGCACTGTATCTGGGTGAACAAGTTTTTTTCATATCTACTTAAGTACAAATAATTACAAACATTGACACGTAAAGGTTAACATAGAAAAGTGTCAGTCCAGAAGAATAGAATAAAACGATACATTCATCAGTAAAATTCAGAGTTATATTTAAACAAAGGAAGCAAATAATCATATGACAAATACGTGGAACGGTTATCAGTGAAATTTAGGTTAACCTTTGTATGTCACAATAAGACATCGCGAGTCCCAACATTATCCTTTCTCGTGTATTTTCGCTAACATAATAAATCAACTGTGTCGGATATACCCGGAAAAGCAATTTAGCAATGTTGAACAACCTGTCATAAATAACGTTACACTAAATATGTTTTAACAAAATAGGTCACGTTGTTTCAGTATAAGAACAAAATATAAATTGCAAGTATAGAATAATGGACATCTCGCTATAACTACATCTAAAGCAAAAGCAATAGAAGTTTCCACGTACAAGAAAGTTTAGAGTTCCTTTGAACGAATAAAGAGGTGTATTAAGTCAGAAACGCAAGGTAGCAGCGAAGTAACTGCAATGCAGACATCATACATCAACCACAAAGCAGTTTCATTGCGAGCAACGACGTCAAAGCACGCTGACCGGCACAAACAGTATCGTGCAGTATCGTAGCCTTTGAACAGGAGCCTTTGATATGCACAATAAACCCGCCGCCGCCGGCCGCCCTCGCCGGAGGTAAATGCAAACTAGGGCTGTACATTGCTACCTGATTCTATTATACACGTCTGTTCCGGACATCCCGGTATAGTTCCTAAAATTATTTGATTCTGTTTATAGCTAAATAACAAAAAAAGCAATCTTAAACAATTAAATGAATCGTTATTTAAATATCACGTTTTATAAAATTTAAAACATTGAATTGACCTACTAAACTTAGCAAAGCTATTCGTTTAAAAATGATAATAACCCAATGATCAACAAGAACGAATCCCCTGACGCACATTAAACTCGCAAATGCCTCACCCCGGCGCATAAATTCGTCACGAACCCCACATTATAGGTATACAGGATGTTGGCTGGCGGGTGAACGGCCCATTGAGTACACAGGGTGATTTATTTTCGTTTACCTTCAGGGTTGACGTCCGCTGAGCCTTTTAATGTAGTGTGGAATATTCTACCTGCCACCGTTTCTATTGTAACAGCCATTGTTATGTTCCCTTCTATCAAAAGTGAGTGTGCTTTGTAGAAATCAATTCGTAACTTTCGTGTGCCACATTTGAAGTTTATTATAACATCTTAATTTTTAAGTACTGAATTAAAACGTACTAAAATATTAAAGACAAGTTATTGATTTTTAAAGGTGTTCGAAAAGTTCATAATGTACATTAAATGATTACATAATGCAGACGGTAAATTGCAAGTCATTACGCAAGCAAGCGGCTCCACGCCGCCGCTGACCTTTGCCTGCTCGGTACTTGTTTACTCTTAAACACAGATTATAGATACAATCTCTTGCTAGCAAACAACTCACATTCTTTACAACTTTCATTAAAAATACATAGAATGATAAATTTCAGATCGTAATTAATTAATTTTTACGTTATAGTTATTCCTAAACTTTTACATGACATTTGCGGTTGTAATTTCATATTTAGCAATTGTGGAAATTTTATTACCCATTAAATGACATATAAATAAACTTCAACGTCTTAAGATAGACACAAGTAAATATCAAACCCATTTTCAATAATTTGATGTCATGTCGAAAGATATCAAACATGTTTTGCAATTCCACAATAACTTTCTCAGCGCAAAGGTAGAACTTAACCGGCTCGGGTACACGCGGCCGACATGTTCCCGGTACATTTATCTCAATCTCGAGGGCCCCAGCGAGTGCCGGAGGGCAAAGAGTGCAACACGACTCGTCGGACCGGTGCCCCTCCCTTCTCTGCCCTCACACAAACCGGTGTCCTAGCCCGCGCCCCAAGCTTACTCCGTTTCTAACAAGATTGAAACTTAACTAACATACTTATCGACCGTAAAAGGCAACCGTAATTATTTTGTTCTTCATACTTTAATAACTGTCAATTAAAATCCTTGGCAAATTAGAAAATACTTCTACAATATAAAATAAAATATACATACGTAACATGACATCGTCGTATAAATGATTTAGACCGAGACATTAAAAAGTAAAAGGAAAAAGATTTATTTCAAAACTTCAGCGACAAAAAGTTGGATGAGCTCCAAATGTACTTTATTCACGTCTCTTGCAGTCGCAATGTCTCAAAGAAACAGGTAATTAATCTACGCGAGCGCGGAGACGGAATGTGGGTCAAAATAATAAAGAAAAGATTAACTACCACTTGTGCGCTAACTTACATTGGCTTCGTCGCGTTAACTTCTTACAATAGAAATTTAAATAAACACGAACAATACAATTAGCTTAGCGCCACAAGGTCATACATAATGATGGAGGATTATAAAAGGAAATAGCAGTGAGTTTTTTACTATCGTTACGAAAGCGTGAGCAGCTCATCATGACTACACCAATTGAAAAAAATTGAAAAAACATAATGGCGCATCTCAAATGTAGCCGATTATCATAAATCAGAAGGTAGAGACGCCCCACACTAACGGACGACCGGTTCACGGACCGCAAAACTTTTTCAGTATCAATTATGCCACTCTCCATATAATTTTTAGATTAATATCTTCACGGACGACGCAAAATTGTTTCCGAGAACAGTGGCAAAAACTGGAATATTGTTGAATTCACCAAAGTAAGTGGTAATGTCGCTTCCATGTGCGTTACGGTCCGAGGTTGTCGGGTGAGATTATAAACGCAGCTCAGATATGCAG